AAACCAGACCTGGAGGCCTCACGACGCCGCGATCCTCCAGCGTCCCCTGTTGGGTTAATCTCGGCGTGCAATGGGCATTTAAGTACGCCGCCCCGCCTCAAGCTTAACCTTGGATTAATAAGGAATAGACAGACTAACACAGTTTAGCTCGACATGTCGGGGCTCAACTTAATAATATTCATCAATTATCAACAATCAATTCAAATATCAATCTCATAAAATATTATCAACTTCAATATCTTCCAATTAAATACCATCAACTGATTTATAGCGCATCAAATCAACTACAGTTTGATACTCTACTCAATACTCACACAGGTTTCTGATGAATGTTTTCAACAATGATAAATATCAACATCACAGCGATTAAAATAATTATTAAACGACTCACCCTACCGTTGATATGGCAAATATCATAAATCTCTACCTCTTATTGGATTGGAAAACATCACACACCAATAGAACCAAGATTACTCAGTGATAACTCACTCACACCAATGGAATCCAGATTACTCAGTGACAAACTCACCTTTGAATAATAATTTGTAATAAACACTCACACTCGAACTCAAACTACCCCGATGAAGTGTGGGTTAAAACTAATTCTAACTCGACGATTTTTAGAGAATTGGTTCTCACAGTCTTAAAGACATCTGGTTTCGATCATCGACCACTCGGGGGTGGCTTGACTTGACCCTCGTAAATATTCCAAGTTTTATGGGTTTTCTCAGAAAAACTCTCGAGGTCTGTTTATAAAAACGTATTTAGTAAATTACTCGAGATTAGAAAACGATGTAAGTATCAGGGATAATATTGCCATTCCCTAAAGAAAAGTGAGAAAAAAAAAATAAAAATTACGGTGGAAAACCTTGTCTTACACTTGTATTCTTTGTATGGTCATTGGTTGTTGAAATATCGATGATCAAAGACAAAAGGATACTATTTTATTTAAAGTCAGATATCTCACCGACAAATTGACGTAAAAAGAATATGGAAAAAGCATATTAAAGATAAATGAACATGCTATCCGGCCTATGCATTAACATTAACTTAAAAAAAATCCCCACCTCCGTGGATCAAAAACAAAAACAAAAATTTTTTTTGCGCTATTACTTAGGATTGCGTGATAACCGTAACACCAAAAAAAAAAAAATTGCCAAAAGATCTAAAAACTAAAAACTTAGGGCTTTAAAATGTTTTTTCTTAATCTAGATACATATGACCGTTTTTCGATGAGTTACAGCCTTTCAAAAATCACTAAAAAATTTAGAAAAATGTTTTGTTCCTTTAATTTTTTTGGAGTAGTGAATTACAAAATATTTTTTAAATTTTATTCGTTTTTTATTTTACGTGATAGAATAATTCAATCATAAGCAAAACTGTGATCTATATTACCTATATTTTTCGAATCACGTAAAAAAAGTTTCAATTTTCATAACGGTGTAATAAAAAAAATCTACACAAAAACTCACTTATCGCTTCTCGCAACTCTTCATAGACTTCACACGAAATCAACGGCTGCTTCAACTCCCGAAAAAACAACTTGAGAGTCCCCGCCAGCACATCAACATCCATTCTGTGCTTCTCTAAAATCTCCCATCGGCCGCAATTTATTTCAAACCGAATGTTCTGAACCACTGCAAGATTTGCCGACGCTCGATACAACCCCACACTCGTGATATTTTCCGGTTCTTCGATAAGTTTCACAATACGAGTGATTACTTCCGGTACAGGATGCTCCTCATCAACTAACTCGTCCAAAGTGTTGCCAAAAATTGGCTCGTTTTTGATAATTCCTTTCTGTTCGAGCAAATCCCGACTGGATCTCTTCTTAAGCAATTTGCGGAGTTGCCACAGTGGTCCCATGGGTTTGATAGTGGAAGGCAAAGCATGAAAAGATTTTTCTTTTTCAATGAAAAGTTTGGCATCTTTGGTCGAACTAAATTGGAGCCAGTAAATGTTCTTATCTAAATCACTCATTTCCAATGTTTTTTTAGTTATCATCTTAACTCCTTTTTTCATAGATATGTTGGGTTTTATTACTATTTCTTCGTCTCCTTTGAGGAGTTTTAACTCTTTGCCATCTAACCGAAGAGTGTCCTCTTTGCCAACTTTCACACAGTGCCGCTCATTTACAAGTTCCAAACCTTTAACTCCTTCAAAATCAAAATGACTTTTTTCTATTTTCTTTCTAAAATTTCAAATGAGAAAAAAATTAAAACCAACTCTTTTATCTTACGTTACTGTAGACGAGTATGTTTTCGGTCTCGTCAATTTAACACTGGGTTTTCTGAGAGGCACTGGTTCTTCCTCCTCTTCAAACACCGGGAAATTTTGCGGTTTGTTACTACAACTCTCATCTTTGGGGCCACTATCGATTTCGGTAAACAAATCCTGCAAATAACGCTAATTACTATACAAAACAAACGGAAGTGAAGGTTACGAGATAATATTTTTTTAGTCTAAGCATTAGTTGAAATTCTACCTGTAATTGTCTTCTTTCATTTTCAGGTAAAGTGTTGAATTGGAATGAATTTCTTGTCATTGTTTAATTGGGGAACACATGATTACGGATTGAATAACTTGGGCACTGCGCCCGCTTGTTGTGATAATGATAAGGTTGATAACATGTGGTTGCCCCACTCTGACTAAGAGGAGGCGGAAAAGCGCGCCAAGTAAAAAATTGACGGGAAGTGGACACAAAATAGGGGACAAAAAAGAATTAAAAATAAAATAAATAGACAACACAAATAAACAGTTTGTTGTATGTCAAGTGCATAACTGTGGTTTAAACTATTACTGGTATTTGGTATTGAGTTTCATATGTAATAAATTGCGTTTATCTTTGCTTGCAGTTGGTGTGTTGATAAACAAGAAAACGCGTCCTTGACAGTTTACACAAAATTAGTTACATCTAATTTTTCGAGTTTCTGTGATAATTTTTTACTTTAAAAAACCTTATTTTAAATATTAAATAATAATATTTTTCCAATGGCAATAAGTGCAATGTTTTATGTTAGAACGTTAGATATTTTTTATTAGAAAATAACAAAATTTTTGATAATACATGTACAAAAACAAAGATCAACATTACTCTACTTCCCAGTGCTTCTTCTTGTTTTAAATTTGCATATGTATTTTGTAAAACGTAATAACTTTGTAGGACCAAAGTACTGTATTATTATAGATATAGATTATAAATAAGATTTTTTGATAGAACCACCTACAAGTGGTATCAATAATAATAACATTTATGTTATCAGAAATTATTTTACTTATCAAAATCTTCTACACAAAAATAATATTTCCATCTAAGTATATCGATGTAGCACTGTAGCAGAGTAGTAGATACTTTTCCACATTCCTACAGAGAAATTTTATGTTACTAGAAAAACACTAGAAAAAAATGTCTTATACAACTATTTAACCTTAATTCATTTTTTTTTCTGTCATACGAATATATATATGTATATATATATATAATGTATATATATATATATTTTTTTTTTCGATTTATTTTCGTAAAGTAATTACTTTATGCAAAAAACGCTTAGTTCTATACTTTTTATTTACCCGGTATATTTTTATTAATTACAACAAGATCTCAACAAAACCTGTAAAAACAGTTCTTATTTTTCGTTTAGGAGTTATGCAATGGTGGGTTCAGGGGAGACATTTACATTAAATTAATGATTAGTGTAAAGGTCTCCCTTTATAATTTGAACCGCCGTCCCCTATACAAGTAATTTATTACATACACGGTGAATAAAAAGTATGAGACCAAGCATTTTCTGCATAAACTAATTACTTTATAAAAAAAAATAATTTGTGCAGTGTAAGGTGCTATAAAAATGCGATCGTTTTTATAAGAATAAAATTTTTCGAAATTTCTTGTAATTTTTGAGTTTTGCAAAAAAAGAAAAATTAAATGTAATATACTGTTACAATTTTTTTTAATTAAAAAATGACTTCTAATAAAATAAAATTGTTTTTGAACCAGTAGGTTTTTTTAATAAATTCTTAAAGTTGCGTTCCGAGCTCATAACCAAGATTTTCCGAACTTAACCGAAGTAGTCGTTTCATGCATTTGGTCGGTTTTTTGTGCTGATGCTTTGGAATAGTTTCGAATAGATCAAAAAATCCAATAAGAACCTATTTTCTTCTATTAGTCAGAAGAGACTTGTTTAGGATATTTTTAGGAGGATTAAGTTCGGTAGCAGGACATTTCGGGTTTAGGTGATGACACTGCTCATAAAGTGATTAACTCTGTTTTCAAATATTTCTGGAATTATTTTACTAACAGAAGGACTAAAAAATAACAACGTTATATATAGTATATAAATAAGGTTAATACCTACGTATTTATTATTCTATTTTATATCAACATATCAAAATTACAATGTGGTCTTTAGAAAATCAAAAAAAAAAAAAGACTAAAGAACGTAAAATAAACTCAACAAATGAAATAGTACAAGTTAGTTACAAAATAAAGGAAGACTAAGTTTCGCCTTCAGGTAAATATTTTATAAATATTTTTTTTTAATTCTTCATACAGAGTAAGGCAAGTTTTATCGCGGTCCATATTAAGGTATTTTGAAATAAAGTAAGCGTGATATTAAGCGAAAAGAACAATTTAAATAAAAAGAGTTTGTGATCAAATTTTAACCAAAAAAGGTTTATCTCTCAAGAAACGAAACATCTGGTGATATATGTTCAGTTTTATTAGAAATCGTAAATAAGCATCAGCTTTACGATGGACTGTTTGCCACTATGCTATAATATAGTAAAAATTCATTGATGTAGTTATTAAAGTGCGATTATTATTATTATTGAAATTTGCCACAACTCACAACATTAAAATTACCCTGTTTTGCATAAAAATTACAAAAACAAACTTGTGCCATAAAACAATAGTATATTAAGTTATTAGGAGTAAAAGTACTATATTATCCGCAAACGATTCAGACTGAGAGTAAAGAGCAACACTATAATTAGCAAGAACATGAACAAAACAATCAGATTGCTTTGCAACTAATCAAATTATGACAACTCTTATAAACAAACATCACGCGTCATATTATTAATTTAACTATTAACTAATTAATAGACATTTTTAATAATTTTTGGATCATTCTAAATAAAAAACCGTTTGTTATGACTTATAAGACAATATAAGACTGAATTGTATGCATCGAAGTTTGGATTGTTTATGCTGAAAACGTGGATTGATTATTAAAAAGTATTGTTAAGATGCATGACGTTGAGATTCTAGCGATAGCCAAAATATTCTTACAAGTAGGTATTCGCAAGATTTTTAATTTTTTGCAATTTTGTACAGGGTGCTGCATTTTGGATGTCCGAGTAGGGAATCTCCAAAACTAAGAGGTTTAGCCAAAAACGAGTATAACATTCTGGGGCTCATTTTTTGAGAAAATAATATTGGTTAAAACCGCATCCCACGATCGTCTTTTGTTTTCGACTTATAGACAAAAATTGACATTTTAGCGAAATCTAAAAAAAATTCATATCTTCGTTATTATAGAAGACACAGATTTGAAATAAAGACATTATAGAGGCACTTTTTTACGTAGAATTTAATAATGTAGTTAACAATTTTTTTCATTTGTTTGTTTAGCCATAATAAAATAAACTTGTATTTTTTTATATGGGAATCATAGATGGCTATGTCATTTTTAAAAAGCTTGTTTTTTTTCTTATCTAAAAAATATATATTTGTAACAAATTATTATAATACATTTTTAGCAAAAAATTATCTTTGATTTTTGTTTGCAGTTGGCCATAAAAAAATGTTGCATCTTCAACTAAAAAGATTTAAACCATATTATTCAACCAGTGTCTCTACTGTAATATCATTTTGCTAATATATATTTTTTAGATCAGAAAAAAATAAGCTTTTCAAAATTGCCTAAACCGCCTATGATTTCCATTTAAAAAAATACAAGTTTATCTTATTACGGCTAAACTAATGACTGAAAAAAAATGTTAACTACATTATTAAATTCTTCGTAAAAAAACGCCTCTATAATGTCTATATTTCAAATCCATCTTCTGTAATAACGAAGATATATTTTTTTTTTAGATTTTGCCAAAATGTCAACTTTTGTCTGTAAGTCGAAAACAAAAGACGATAGCGCCGATGCGGTTTTAACCAATATTATTTTCTCAAAAAATGAGCCCCAGAATGTATCACTCGTTTTTGGCTAAACATCTTAGATTCGGAGATTCCCTATTCGGACATCCAAAATGCAGCACCTATACATGACAGTGTACGAATTTTTAATCAATATTATTATTAGCACTTAAGAAAAACTGCAACAAAACAATAAAGGAAAAACATAATTTTATGAAGTCTTGGCCAACGGTTATTTGTTTTAGAATATTGACAAGCGAATTTTTTATGCAAGTCTATGTAAACTGACTTTAAGATAAACTAGGAAAAATTATTTATAATAATTAGTACCTAATCATCCTGATTAGTGATTATCCAGCTAATAGCTTTTTAGTTCTTAAGGATTTAAATTCCGATTTTTTACACATTCTGACTTTATGTACACAACTCGCGCCCCATAGAAAAATTTCAAGTAAGATAAGACACAAAAACATGAAAAAAATGTTAAAAAAATTGTCTCTGTCAAAAAAATTTATTTTGACATTTATTTTTTGACATTTGACATTATTTATGTCTATTTAATGATGATACTGATGATCTTGTATATGATTTTTTATAATTATTTAATAGAGATACAAAAAATTTGCGAATAAAAGTCACAAGTAATGTTAAACAGATTTACAATTTGGGCAAAAAGTACTCCAATATGATTTGGGATTCATGTTTCAACTTGGAAAATTATTTTTCCAACAGAAATAAATAGAATCAAAGAGCAAAATTTAAACCCTGATAACTTTGAAATTTTTATATGTAGAGTTTTCTTAACATTTTTTCCATGTTCCTGCCATTTTTCTCTGGGGCACGAGTTCTGGCACACACTGTATTTTTGTTTATGTGCTATTTTCATTAAAAAAAATAGTCCATAATTTAATTAAAAAAAAAATTGTTTTTCAGTTACTTTTTGAACTAACTGTAAATAAATAAAAATCTATGATTTTACAAAACATAACATCGTTATACACATATTTGCTTAATCAAAAATCTACACGTGAAAAATAAAAATGTAATTACCGCTCACGTTGACGTGAAAATAGCTGTAAAAAGCAATCTAATGTGTTCACAAGAGGATTTGTTTTGATCATAAAGTTTAAAGTGCCACAAAAATATTGTCCACTTTCATTCTGCTTACCTTATCAGTACTAAAGTGATAATGACTTAATTCAAAATAAACTCATTACTACTTACCACTTAGATCGCATTATAA